TGACAGCAGGATCCCAAGGGAGGAAAAATAACTTTCGAAGTGGTAATGAGAGTGGCCCATTTCTGACAGTTGACAAGAAGGTGTGAGTAACAGTAGGGGGAAATTAGTATTGGGGAAATTAGGTTTAGGTTTTGTAATGACCCAACCACTCCCAGTCTTTATTCAGGCCTAATCTGATGGTGTCCAATTTGCAAATTAATTCCAGTTCTGCAGTTTCACGCTGGAGTCTGTTTTTGAAGTTTTGTTGTTGAAGAATTGCCACTTTTAGGCAATGAGAGAGTCTTGTGACTCCCCGGCCATGGCTCGTGAATCAGCCCGTTGTGAAATTCAGCCATTTATCAGATAGCAACAATCAAAATAAGTGAGTGCCAGATTGTGCCCTTGGGATCTGCCTGGGGAGAGACCCCTCTGCTCACAGATCTCCCACCTCCCAGAAAGGTGGGTGTTCCGTCTCCAAGAAACAGTCCCATGGGCCCATGACAGGGGGCGCTCTCTGTAGCTCTATCCTGGGGTGAGCCAGGATAGGAAGGTGCTTTGTGCTTCAGGGCTTCTGTTCATCTCCAACTATTAGAGACCGGGATGAGGCCTAATGTGGGGGGTGGGGGGAGATTATCCCACATCTGCTACTGTAGGGTTCTTACGCCTTCCCCTGCAGCATCTGGTCTTGGCCAGCGTCAGAGACAGGATATGGGACTGGATGAATCTTGGATCTGACTCATCTGGCAGTTCCTATGTTCCTAAAGTGACTGTTTCCCTGCACCAAAATGCATGCACAGAAAGACACTGAATCCCCTTTACATGGCTGTCCGAGGAAGGAGTAAACTCCCAGTGCACTGGGGCAGGGGAAGCAACATAGGAAACAGGCCTGAAAAGCGAAATCTTGCCAGTGAGGGCACATCCTGTGTAGCCCGCACAGGAGAGGTTTCATCATGATTTACTGCCAGTGAAATGCAGAGATCTTTGGTGCAGCCAAGTTACACAGTGAACCAGATCTCCACCAGGCACCAGTGCAGAGCCAACCGCCTTGCTGAGGGGAGGGGCCTTCGGGGATGTAACCACCTCATCTGGCCCAAGGCCCCTGATTTAAATGGCAGTATTTTAAAAACAAACATGTGTTGTAACTGCACTCAGTAACCATAACACTCCCTGCCATGCGGCTGCCCCGCACAGGAAGCCTGGCCTATCAGCACATCCGACATAGTTATCGTATTACAACTAGTAGCTCCCTCCGAGCAGCAGCCCAGAGCATGAGAGCCAAACATGGATCCAAGCCCGCATTCACCGCAAAACCCTCGCCGGGTTGCCATTGATCCTGACAGACGGGGTGAGACCAGCCCTCCAGCTCCACAAGCCGAGAGGTGGGAACAGGAACGCTGGGAGGATGGGAACTGACCCGGGATCGGCGCTAAGGTGCAGATGGCATCTGCGCACAGTACCCAACGATTCTGCGGGCAAGCAGGGTGGAGCCTTAATTGAGTCAGGGTTGTTAGAGCTGGTCATTTAGTGCACTTCCTTGCCAAGGTCAAGGTGTTCCCGACAGTACAGATCAATGCCCAGATATTGACCTTGCATGAGACAGTCAGTTCCAAAGACCACTTTTGTATGGCTGAGTTCATGAGAACAGCAGGGCCTCCTTCTCCTCCTGTGACCAACCACCCTGCCCGACCTCCACTCTGTCCTCTAATGCCCTACTGCACCCCCTCCCATCCCCCCAACAGTTCCTGCAACACATCATCCCTCCTCGTCCCATAATCCAAACAGCCTACATCCGGACTTCCATTTTGCAGCCGGGTCCTTGAATCCAGACATGCCTGAATTTGGGGGAAGTTTGATCTGGATCTAAACTGTGTGGTTTAGACTTATGTCTAGTACAGACTACCAGCCCCCTGCCCCACTCTGCTAAAATCAGAGGCATTTATGGAATGAGTCCCCAGCAGTGTCTCAAATACCCGTCACCCTGCACAACCATTGACATCACACGGCACATGATCACTTATTTAAAAGGTGACTGGCAAAGCCCTATAGAATTTAATAAGGTTCTAGAGAAATCACGCTAAAAAGCTACCGAAGCTATGGGATTTTTAAAAATGTCTTACAGAATGATCTAGCAGCCGGAAGTTATTTTCTATTTCAGTCCAAAAAAAAAAAAAAACCGATAGAAGAGTTCTCATTTCCTAATAATTAAGTTCTGTAGGATTTTCCATGAGCGAAGGGGCGTGGGATTGTGTCTGTGCCTTTTTATGATGTCTAAAGAACTATTGCGCCAGATTTCCAAAAGAACTCGGGTTGCATTTAGGAACATTGGACAGATCTTCAGCAGCTCCCATGAAGAATGATGGGAGTTGTTGGGTGCGGAGCACTTTTGAAAATCTGGCCCATCAGATCTGGTCCTTCTGGGGGCCTCCTTGCAGGTAATGTCCACTCTGCTATCACGTTATATTTTATATTTTCACGTTATATTTAAAAAGCAGTAAGACGAGAACAGTACCTGGGATTTCTTCTCCTTTTTTTAATATATACGTTAAAGATGCCGCTGTATCTTACCCTGACCGTCTGAGAATCGGCATCTCAAAAAATGTACATGCCCAAAATTGTGTGCAGATTTGGGCACTCCGTTTGCACACACAATTACCAATAATGCACATGCCATTGGCATAATTTCAAGTGCAAGTGACCAATTAGACGCATAACTGGTCAGTTGCACATGCAATTAATTCCCATGCTTCTGTGCGCAATCACAGCAACCTTGCATGCAAATTAGACACCGAAACGTGCATGTATTTTTGCATTTCCGTTTTGCATGTCTTAAATTTTGAAAACCTGGGCCAGTATTTTTAATTAATCCTTAGTCACCATTGAGTCCAGTTCCTTGTGCTGATTGACGCTTTGCCCACCAAATGGTATATTAGGCACATCCAGCAAATATCCTCAGCTGATGACCCAGGCTTGCCCAGTATATTTAATGTTCCCAAGGAAAGCGCTGCCAGGACATGCTTCCCTTATGGCAGCCATGGAAGAGTTAAGTACACTGGCCCTATCTGTGGCTCCCACATCACCTTTGCAAAGGAGAAGCTGGTGACAACTGAATGCTGGGAGGCAAAAGTGACTCACAAAGCTGAGCTCAGAGCTAATTTGCAGCCGAAGGTAAAGATTATGCAGCATCTGACTCAAAAGAGAATAGGCAAAGCTGGCTCTACCAGTCCCAAGAAAACTTCTCTGATGTACGGAGCTGCAGATTGACCTGCTTGCTGCAGTGTGTGTCCACCCCCAGACTACCCTGTTCTCAAACCAACGTTTCACAATTCTCTGGGCTTTTTCCTCCTGTGGTTGTGACAAAGCGAACTCTGGCATGCGTCAGCCAGGAAAAGCACCCACAAGCCATGCTGTCCTTACTAGGGGAACTTCTTGGGTCTCTCCATTCACACCAGGACCAGGGAAAAATGAGTCTGGTGCCTTCCCAAAGGCCTCGTCTACACTAGAAAAGGTTTGCCAGTAGAGCTGGCCATACCAGTAAACCCTCGTAGTGTTATGGAGCTAATGCTGGTTGAAAATATTCCTATGGAATGTTTTTCCATTAGAAAATGCTGTTTCATTTATATCGGGGTGGCCACAGAGCCCCCCCCCCACACCACCCACCATTCTCCACCTAACAGACTGGGGGGAGGTTGGGGTTCCTGCCCTGCGGCAGTGGTGGGCCTAGGGGCTTCTGCCCCATGGGGAGGGGAGACTGCAGTCGAGGCCTCAGCCCCACTGGGCACGCATGCTGGGGCACGGGGCTTCAGCACGAGCAGGGCTGAAGCCCCTGCAGGCACACTCCGTCTCTCAAACTTCAGAAGATTGTCGTATGCGGCTCAGAGGGTCAGAAAGTTTGGCCACCCCTGATTTATATGGAAACATGCTCATTTTGATGAAATGTTGTGGCGGGGGGGAATAAAGCATTTCAATAAGGTTGAAACATTCTGTTCTGACATTTTCAGAGTGGAACATTTTGATTTTTCTTATCACCACAAGTTTTTGTTTAGACATTTCTTTTATGTTATATTGAAAACATTAAAAATGTTGAAATCAAAACGAAATGTTTCCCTTGACACAAAATGATTTTTTTTTCCTGAAAATTTCATGTTGCGGGAAACGTTTGCTTTCCAGTCCGATTCGGAACAAAACACATTTTTTTTTAAAAAATGGAATTTCCTGCAAAACAGAAATTCCAGGCCCCCACAGCCCAAGACACAGCGTATAGTGGCAAAAGTGTTTGCCAGTGTAGCTCAGACGGGTTCCCTGCGTGAAATAAAGGATAGACCAAGACTTTTGCTGGTATAAAAATGTTGCAAAAACATCACTGGCCACAACAAAGATTGGCAAAAGTTTCTGGCCTAGACCTGACCTAAGAGAACAGCTGGGGCTGCCCTCTGCTCTTTCCCCATCTGTTCCTTCACACATGAAGTTAGCAAATCCGGGGGGGGGGGGGCATTTGCAGGGCAACATGCAAGTATTTTGTTTGGTGACTTCCGAAAAGCTCCCCGAGCAGTTATGGGCTTGGTGCAGGGATCACTGGCTGGGAGGGTGTCCTCTGGCCTGGGGGAGGACAGACTGGATGGCCATAATGGTCCCCTCTGGCCTTAAAAGCTAGTAACCGCTTTCTCCCTCCCGCAGCGCAGGGACAGAGGGCAGGTGGCCCCGCGTTTGATCAGGAAAAGTGGGGGAGCCCGTGCGGCCCCAAGACAGAGGAGTTGAGACCCCAGAGCTGCCCAGCCCAGCACCAGGGGACTAGCTGTGCCTTGGGGGCTCAGACGGGGGGGCTGTTTGGAAGTGCAGGTTCCCTGCGGCGCTGGGCTCCGGAGCGGGCTCCAGCCTCCCCCGGCCATGCCAACACGTGTTATCAAACAGGCGCCTGGTATGCCGCTCGGCTCAGCCCTGCCAGCTGGGGAGGTGGTTTTTTGCAGGGGGGCTTCTGCTCGGGTATTTACGGCGCGCGGCGGTCCCAGCAGAAGTTCAAGCAGACTGCTCGCGGTTCGCTCCCGGGCTCGCAGCTGCAGCGCCGGGCACGGGGCGCGGAGCGAGTCCCACCCGCCCGGCCATGGGCTGCACATGCAGCACGACCGGCCGCTGCCCAGCCAGGAGCAAGGTAACGGCGAGCGACCCCCTCCCCCAGCTGGGTTTGGGGTGGGTTCCGCTTTGACAGCGGTTCCAGCGCTGGGGAAGGGTGGCAGCCCCCTAGAGCCTGTCCCTGCTGGGCCCCCCCCTGCCAGCGCCCCGCTGCTCCAGCCCGGCACAGAGCTTACCGGGGTGGGGGGCTGGGCGTCTGTCCCCCCCTCCCCCGCTTTAAACAAAGCCCCTTCCCCAAAACCATGAGCAGGAGAACAGGGGCTGGCCGACGGCTGGGGAGACAGGCTGGAAAGGGGTGACACGTTGTTCCTGAAAACTGCAGCGCCTGTGTTGATTGTAGAGGTGTGTGTGTGTGTGTGTGTGTGTGTGTGTGTGTGTGTGTGTGTGTGGTGGAGAGGGTCGAGGGGGTTCCTTCCCTAGTTGTGTGTGTGTGTGGGGTGGAGAGGGTCTAGGAGTTCCTTCCCCAGTAATGTGGGGGGGGGTCCTTGAGAGGGTCTAGGGGTTCCTTCCACTGTACTGGGTATATATATTTATTCACAACATGGGAAGTCTCTGGTGAATCCCAAAGGCACAGCAAAAAAAGTGTCTCCCTGAGCCTCAGACAGCAAAACCTCTCTCCGCCAGGGAAGGGTTAGCAGCAGAACCCAGAGAAGGGGTGAATTCCACCAGAGGCAGCAAAATCGGGCCAATTCTCCTTTCAGTTTAAACAAGAGCGTTCCCGCCATCCGCCTCCAGCCCATCACTGGTTCTGGGGATGGGGGGGAAAAGATGCTTTTAAGATTGAAGGAAACTAACTGTTCTCCAGCAGGGAGGGTGGCGGCAGGGGAGAAGGCATCTGAGATAATAACGTGAGCCTAGAACGTTGAAGCAGCACCAGGGCAGGATGTCTGCAAACCTCACCCTCAAGCATCTGATGGTTAGATTCTTCCTTGTCTTTCTTTGCTACCTGAGCTGCTAAGCAAGAAGTGCAATAGCTGGTTTTCTCAGGTGCTAGCTACATTTGAGCAAAGTACGCTCAGTGAACTATTTATTCTACGGATTTAGCCTGTCCCCAGTTCTGGGATTATCCTCAAACAGACTGATCTTTACAAGCGTGTTCATTATTTGATTGAAACTTCATGTGTCCATTGTCAGTTTCTGGGTTGTTTGTGAACTATTGGTTTCCCTTGTGCTTACAGTTATTCGCTATTTGTTATTCGGGGCCTGTGATTGGTCACCTTAGCCAGGCAGTGCACCCTGCATGGATGATTTTAAAAGGAGGAGGGAAATCACAGAGATTGCAAGATGGCTGCACACAGCTTTGCACAAATTAATATTTGCATGCGGGAGTAGTTCTGAGACTTCCAGGAACACTGAGCCAGAAAAAACCCACTTGTACAGATACTCAGGGAAAACGGAAACAAAGGGACACACCTACTGTCCAAGAGAACTCACAGGGGAGTTGCAGACAGAGGTCTGTGAATATTTTTTTTCAGCCCAATGCACACGAATAGCTGTATATTAAAGAAATGTATGAATCTCTTATGCACAAGGTCAAACACTTCTAGGCCAGTCCATGCCTCTGAGGGCTCCCTGTACAAAAGAGACACTGGGTGAGAAATGCTGCATACAAAAGGCCCCAGGAATTGAGACTAAGGCATTTCATTGACGTGAGATGGAGTCATTTGGAGACACTTCCCTTGATTCTGATATGTCCAGTTAATACATAAACTTAGCTGGGGCAAGGAAGAGGATACAGCCCTTGCTGGCCACATCTTTAAATCAAGACTGGGTGCCTTTCTAAAGGGTATGTCCTAGCGCAGCCAGAATTTATGGGCTTGATGCAGAAAGCACAGGGTGAAATGCTACGGCTTCTGTTAAGCAGTAGGTGAGACTAAATGCTCACAGTGGTCCCTTGTGGTTTAAAACCTCTGGCACAAGGATAGATCAGAAAGACTGAAATGGGGCGTGTAAAAGGGATTGAAGGTGGGGGAAATTCAGAGAGTCACAAGGAAGTAGAAGATGAATCCTCAATGCTAGGATTTGAGAAAAATGAACAGTCAGACGCTACAGGCCTGGTTCCATTCACGTTTAGTGACTTCTCAGGCTGGAAAAAGTCTCTTGGACACCAGTGGTTCTTATGTTTTAAATGGGAGTGGATATTTTAACTGCTGTGATTATTTCACCATTGCACGGGATTAAACCTGATTGCCAGAACTGGGGATGGGAAGGAATTTTTTCCCAGGACCCATGTTGTAAATGACCTTGGGGAGTCGTCACCTTTCTTGAACCAGAGATCATCTGTTCAGATCAAGTGGGAGTATCACATCTTCTGAGTGCAGGGGAGAGGGCATTGGCACGCCTCAGTCCTTCATGTCATCTATTTCTGTCTTTTAGAAGAGCATAAAGATAAGAAAGTGATTGTGCAGGTGCCGAGTGCAAGAACCCAGCCGGGATCTTGTAGCTATAAGACCTCTGGAATGTGATCAGCTCTGTAACTCACCTGCTTGCAGTAGCAGGACACAATCTGCATTTCATCTGACATCCAACCATGAGAGGTGCTGAGAGGTCTTCTTGAAAGATCAGGGCTCAGGCCTGGCATCATTCCAGCAGTGGGTTATATACATTATAATTAAATGCTACACACACACACACAGTAGAACTTCACAGTTAGGAATACGAGTTACGAACTGACTGGTCAATCACAGACCTCATTTGGAACCAGAAATACACAATCAGGCAGCAGCAGAGAAAAAGAAAAAGAAAAGCAAATACAGTACAATATTGTGTTCAATGTAAACTACTAAAAAAAAGGGGAAAAATTGAAAAAAAGATTTGACAAGGTAAGGAAACTGTTTCTGTGCTTGTTTCATTTAAATTAAGATGGTTTAAAGCAGCATTTTTCTTCTGCATAGTACAGTTTCAAAGCTGGATTAAGTCAATGTTCAGTTGCAAACTTGAAAGAACAACTATAACGTTTTGTTCAGAGTTAGGAACATTTCAGTTACAAACAACCTCCATTCACATACAACCTCCATTCTCAAGGTGTTTGTGAGTCTGAGGTTCTACTTTATTTACTTAAAATCGGAAAGGGTCAGAAATTAAGTTGCTAACAAGACGGTTAACTCAGCTACAAAGCTCAGTCTATATGTTTATGGTGCAGATTTCATTGCATGAATGGTAGTATGTTAAAAGCCGTGAATAGACAATGGTATATAAGTGGACCACACCTCTGTAAACACTGCTCTTGAAGCATTGAGCACCTGCTTCCATTGAAGTTATTGGCCTAACCTTCCTCCCACTGATGTCAATAGCAGTCACAGAGCAAAGCTCCTGGTGGCTTTAGGGGGGACAGCGTCAGGATTTAAACACACATCCCTTGTTTTTTGGTGATTTTATTCTGCGACATGAATGTTGCATTATGCATTAAAAATGCAATTTTAGAAAAAAATCGTGCTCTAAAATCTAAGGCCCGGATCCTGCACCATTGACTGCTCCTGGGTGCATCTCTCTACCCACGCCCAGACTCACTGACTCCACAGGGCAGCACACACACGTAGTCAATTGCAGGACTGCAGGGGTCATTCAGCCAAAGGCCGACTGGGGCCTCAGTTCCTGAGGAGTAGAGTAGAGTAACAAAGGGACACAGCAAATACACACTGAACAGTGCACATGCTCCAAGTACCTCTGCAAACGTGCCAGTGCTCCGTTGGCACATCCAAAACGTTCTTAATTTTCAGCCAGGTTTTGTTTTGATGCTTGGTTATGAGCCTTCTCCCCAGATAGGTTGAATGGACACCTAAGAATCAAGTTTCCAAACTTCAGACAGTTTGCAGTTATCTCTAGGGGGTGGGGACCATGACTGTAATTTTTGACATTGGGAAAAATGGTTTGATTTTCTTCTGCTCACATTCATCATCCAAAAATAGTGAAAGGGATTTGGACCAAGCTGCAGAATAATTCACCTGGGGACAGACACCCACTTTAAGGCCCCTTTACACTGCCGGAGCAGTGGGCTCTTGAAACACAGCTTTCCTGCACTGCTGGACATCCTGCTGTGCTATTTATTTGGACCGTCTTTCCAGCAGAAACTGCAGCCAGGGACATGTGCTCATTCTGGCACCTGGGAAGCGGTTAATGTCTCTGTGGGATAGTCCTAGAGAGACTATCACGGAAACGGAGAGAGATCGTTAGCACATGTGGAATACTCCTACTTTGCTTCCCATTGTAAGCCTTAGGCCCTATACTCCCCTTGCAGGGCATGAGTCGTGTAAAGTCCCTGGTTTGGTATTGGACACAGGGACAGGCACAATCCAGGAGCTTCCAACAAACGGCCCTTTACTGCAGCTTGCTCAAAGATTGCCCTGCATAGATTCAGCCACTTGCACCTCCTGGGGGGTGCCACGCCTGGGACTGTCAAAGGCGCAGTCCGCTCTAAACAATACCCATTGCATTCCATGGAAGTTATTCCTCTCCTGTGGGGAGAACAGACCCCCATCACTTGTGTATAGCGTCATGTCAGAGAGAGGGATCAGATCTAGACGTGATGGACACAAATGCACCAGGCCAGAAAGAGCTGAAAAGAAGAACAAATCAAGCCAGCATTTCTTGCATTTCCCAGGTTCCCATTTCCTTTCGCCAGGGCGGGGAATCCAAGTGGCAATAGGGCATCAGTCTCTGCATTAGGTTTGCCCCAGGGGAAAGGCCTTTGGGGCCTGCCTATCATTGCCCAGCTCTAGCCAATGGGCCCGACCATCCTCTGGACTATCAAAGTGCACAGGGATAAGAGAGACTCTCTCCGGGTATCCCAGACTGGAACAGCCTATTATGCCACCAGGATCGGGAGCAGCAGCTGGCAGGCGTGGTGCCAGGGAGAGCGGCTGTTCTGTGTGAGGAGGAGGCCCTGTTTACCCACACGCTCTGCAGCCTGTGCAGGCCCCGTCCTGCTTCTAGGCGGGGGCGAGGGGCCATGTTGGCCTGACCAATGCTGAGGAGAGGAGATCGCTGCTCTGTGGTCAGGACCCTCGCAAGCCCAAAAGG